TCGGCATCTCACGTGAGCCTCCAACACCTCTTCTCCTTCCCCCTTTCCGGGCTCACGTCTTATCTCTCCACACACTGCCTTTGCTCCCCGCTCCCAAATCCTCCTCAAGCTGTTGCTCACATCGATGCGTTGATGCTTATTACTGACACATGGCCTCCTCCAACCCTTCTCCACTGAACACTCCAAAGCAGCCTTACTGTGAGGCTTAGCTCCAAGGTTAAGCATTCTTGAAAATTTCTGATGCTATTACCTTCTTTGTCTAATTACCAATTACTCCCTTCACCTATGCTCCGACAGTACACTGACTAGACCTCAAATAGAGACCCGGCATGAGAGTCAGGGTGCACGAATGGAGGAGGACACCCCCCCAGAATGAATGGAAGGATGGATGAATGGCACCACTGAGAAATGGTACTCAGGTTTTAATAGATTCAGACAATCCCAAGGACACCTATCATAACTTCTAAGGAGTAAGTATTAAGCTGTAGATCCTTTTAGAGAAGAACTCTTTGGAGATGTAGCTCAAGAGATAACTCTGATCTTTACCCTCTGAAACGGCAAGCTGCTCTCAATTTTGATTTAGATAAATAAACTCCACCTAGCTGTGTACTAATGAATGCTAGACTCAGGAAAGATACATAGGCTTCAGGTTACAATAAAAAAACTGACAGAAGAAAGCAGCTGTAGGCAAAAGAATAAAGGACTATAACTGACATGTTTGTTTTGGTAGCACGTAATATACAATAAAGTAAAGATAACTAGTTTAGCAAAGCAAAGACCTAAAGACAACATATGCATTAATGAAGCCTCAATCTGCATTTCCACCAAGCATAGTTAGAGTCCACTTTGGAAACAACTTTCCAATTAGGCCTCCTTAATTTTCCCCAAGTGTTTTTGCATGAAATACATCCATAGTTGAAATTCACTTTTGTCACTAGATATCGTGAAGTAGCTATTTTCTTATACAAAAAATATACTCCTTGAACACTTCCCTGTGGTAGTTTTTCCCCAGTAAGATTGGGCTTTATTAAGTAACCATGACCATAAACTTGTACCTTGATTTTTATTTTTGGTTTCTCATAAATTAAAAAGTTTCTTATCAAACTTTAGTACAAGAAAATATCAGAGAATTAACCTTGGTAGAGTTGGAAATGCCAAGGCCCAGTACTATTGTTTCAGTCACAGGTCTCCAAGAGCACAACTGTATTTTTTTCGGGGGGCGGGGGCGGTGTTTGG